CATTCCATTCTAACATATTTCAGAATTGTGTTTTGTAAATGTTGAATACAAAAAAAAAATCTCTAAAATAAGAAACTTGCAATGGAGGAGGAAAAATATCAAGTTGCTTAGATAAATTGCTTACCAAAAAAACTTCTTAAATATTATTATTATATAATTAAGCAACCTATTATGAGTTGTTAGGATAATGATGCTCTAATATTGCCTATAAAGTTATACAGCTTCATAGCTATATAACAAAAAAAAAAAAACGTTTAAAGGTGAAAATAAAAGAATTTTTAAAGGAAAACAATGAAATAAAAGTCACATAAAAAGTTACAGATAGACTTCTACAATGGAACTCGCAGTAGCAGACACATGCTATGTGCGCTTTCTGCAACTCAGTTGTCGAAACACGCGATCACCTCTTCTTTGTCTGCCACTACCCTGAGGAGATATGGAGGAACCTAACGAAGAAGCCACATCCAAGTGGAACCGGATGCTTGAACTTGTCTCCGCTAGTACTATGTCTATTATAACTCAGTTTCTTCTGAAATATGTCTTTCAAACTCTAGTCATCCATACACTTTGGCTTGAGAGGAATGGAAGGAGACATTGCTCAGTTCATCAGCCTTCAGGGATAACTATCAAGTTTATTGATAAGCAGGTCAGAAACAGAATAAGTTCATTACATGGGAAAGGAAGGAAATATCTGATCAATGTGATAGCTTGATGTAGAGGTTTGATTCTCGACAATAGAGGAGAACTTTGTTTATTTAGATTCCTCAAACTAGCCATTAGCAATTTTTTTAAAACACTTTAGATCAAAGTTGCATTAGTTTGTAAGAAAAACGTTGACAATACTTGACTTTTGCGTGGGCTCGGACGTGTATACTTTAAGGCCCATTAGTATTTAAAAGGGCCTGACATGTAAAGAGTTAATGGACTTTCCTAAAGCCCATGTCATTATGGGAAATCATGCATCTGAATCTCATCTTTGTGTGTTGAAAATATGATCTAAAACGCTCCTTAATCAATCAAAATCTCTCTCTCGTCTTCTCTTTTTCTCCAATTTCGCCGACGAAGCAGGTACACGTTTCTCCTCTCTCTCTCTCCCCTAGATTTTGGGATATATATATATATATATCAATAGAAGTATGCCATTGTGTTCTGCTTGATCAGATCTGCGTTGACTCTTACGGACAATGTTTGAAACTGTGACTTAATCTAAATAACATTGGTAATAACATCTTATTACTCGATCCGATCAGATCACAGTTTAAGCTTCACGTGTGTTGTGTCGTTTGTTTAGACAATGCATTCGATTTCTCATAGAGTTTATGAATTTCACAACTTAATATGATCTTAAATCTGATAATTTGTGCTGTTCTTGAAAAATAAAAACAGTGTTTTTTAGTTATTCAAGAAAAACATGGAATCCACCGGTAACCATGGAGGTATCCAGCAACTACTTGCTGCTGAACACGAAGCTCAGCTGATTGTCAATGCCGCTAGAACCGGTAACTAAATCACAAGCTCTGTTGTATACCGTAATCACTTGTACATGATGCCTTTGGTTTTGACTAGAATTAGAGATCATTGTGTATGTATGTATATATATATGATTTTCAGCAAAAATGGCAAGACTGAAGCAAGCCAAGGAAGAGGCTGAAACAGAGATTGCTGAGCACAGAACCAGTACTGAGCATGGTTTCCAGAGGAAACTCGAAGAGGTAACATTACAACAAAACAAAACAAAACACGTGTCCTTAAGGGGTTAATAAATTGTGATTCCTTCTTTTTTTATACGTCAACACTTGTTATTGATGAGAGAACTTGACTATGAAAAAAAAACAGACCAGTGGAGATTCTGGTGCAAACGTGAAGAGGCTTGAGGAAGAGACTGATGCTAAGATCGAGCAGTTGAAGAACGAAGCTTCGAGGATATCCCAAGATGTTGTGGAAATGCTTCTGAAACATGTGACCACAGTCAAGAACTGAAATATATATCAAAGGCAAGGAAACCATCGACTGTAAAATGGTGTCAACTGTTGGATTTCTTCGTTCGTTTTATTGTTTTGTGGGTTCTTGATTTGAACTTTTGCTATTGATCATTTTCAAGCTGTGACTTAGAACTTTTGTTTTTGTAATAAAATTCATAATAAAGGAACTCCATTTGATCTTGTATACTTGCGAATGTTGTAAGAATAAAAACTAAATCAGAAGGCTGGAGTGGTCGAGCCTCAATATTTATGTTTTGACATTTTGATTTGTATCAGCCAAAACGAACATTTTGATATAATGGATGAGCGAAGGTAGGCTCCCGAGGGTTGGAGTTGGTCGATGACATAAAGCCTATGCAAAGTCAATGATCTGAATAAAAGTGAGATGATCTACGTTTTCTTTCAAAATCAAAACAAACAATTAAATGAAGGACAAAAAGAAAACAAAAACTAGGAGTGGCATCAAATAAAATATAGCTAAAGTAAAGACAAGATTCAACAAAAGGTGACTAAGAACGTCTAAGCCACTTCAGACAAATGGTGATTGAAACTCAGGTTGCAATGTTATTTTTAGTCAATAGGTTGCAATGTTTTGCAATCTCTCCTGATGACTCATTGCATTTGGAAAATCGCCTAAGAAAAGGGAGTTGATTTATATGGGTAGAGGACCTCAAAATAAGAAAATGGGGGTGAAGGTGATCATGAATGATGATCAACAAAAGGATGTAACCTTTGTGTATATATAAATGTTGTAACCATAGTGGATTTTAGAAGAAAAAATTATAATAGCATCTTTTTTTTTTTTGAAACAATTATAATAGCATCTGATTTGTTATTTTAACACAAAATATGCGAGTAATAGTATATATAGACTAGTAATATAAGCCAAAGAGACTAAGAAGTACTTTATTTTATAGGTATAAAAGTTTGTAGATGAGGAAAGGTAACTATTAAGGTCTAAGAATACCTCAATTTGAAATATCAAAAAACTTATGGTAAAGAATAATAAGAGAGCGATGAACAGTTAAATTCATGTAGCATTTATTTTATAAGAGGTGTAATTTAATTTAATCTAATTTAACTAAATTGTATTAAAATATTAATATTTTTTTTATCTAAGAGGTCTTCTAAAATTTGAAGGAATAAAAGTGCTCTAAACTACTCTAGTTGCCAGATTCCTAACACTATCTCTGTTTCTGTCCAGGTACACGTACCAATGAAGTTAAGAAATCAATTAGAGGATTTTCTTAAGTTCTTCTACAAAATTTTATCTTAAAAAGTTCAAAATTTGGAGCTTATAAAAAAAACCATCACTAGTTTGCATACTTGTGTATTTCCTCGCAATCTGCATATATATCTTTATTTCTCAGCATATCTTCTTTTTTTAAGCTCCTCTTTACCTCTCATCATATTCTCTCCAGCCATATGCATGATGCATCCATTCATACATACAAATTTCATCTCTTAATTTTCCATTACTCTCTTGTTCCAAAGTTTCTTATATCTCTCCCATTCTCCATTTACATACGTACGAATTATTGTAATCAAAATTTTATTTGCGATTGGTTTAACTTTTAGATGAGATCTAGGGTTTGTTTCTTATCCATCAAATCTTGCTGCATGTTAATCAAAAGCAATCTCTCTGGTTTGCTAGTGTTTTAGTCTTTAAATCCATCCATAGATAGCGTACACACACACACAGACAGACATATTCACACTCGGACATTAATACATACATGTTGGGAATCGATAGATATAGAGCTTCCTTGAGTCCATTCACAGGTTGTGATATGATCCAATTAGCTTCCGACTCATTCATCCAAATACAGAGTCACCAAAATTCGAACTAAACTCGTTAAATGAATGTATGATGCGGTAGACAAATTGGGTCATTGATTCTCTCTGATTGGACTAAAGGGAGCTCCCTCTCCTTTTGATATTAGAATTTTCTTGATCTATCTTGAATTTTCGTTGTCCCTGCATATAAACGTATCATCTTACTTCAGATCTAAATGATGCATAACATTTCGTATGTATATATGTATGGTAAAACTGACCTTTGATATCTTGGTTTTTCTATGTTTCAGACCATCGTTTTGAATACGTGATAAGCAACAAAATTTCTTCCTTCGAGGAGGTCTGTTTTTTTTTTGTATAAGTACAAAAGTTTGATTCCAAATTTCATAAGAATTGAAGAATGTGACCAATGTGTTAGTGTTTGATTCTGGTATCTCCCACTTTCTTCATAACTATTGGCGTCTGCAATTAATCATCTTTTTAGGTTAACCAAATTTTGGCTTGATGAACCCTGGCGAAACATTCAACAGTTGAAATTTCTTTTTCCATGAGACAATTTCGCCATATGCAATTGGACTAAGAGAAATTGTTGGATAGATTTTTTTATTTGTATTTATACTCAGTAATTCAGATTTATTTATTCTATAATAGAATTCTTTTTCTAAAAAAATAAAATAATATCAAAATTCATAATTTTTATGATCTATAAACAGAGAGTATTCTCCTTTCATTTGGATACAGAAAAACGTCATTTTCATTATAATTAAATATTTTAGTGTTTTAAACCTTTTTGTTAAATTGATCCCAATTTTTTAATAATATTAAATTAGTATTATTTTCTAAAAGTGAGTTAAGTATATAAATAAAATAAAAGTTAAAAATATATTATTTTAATTTTTAAGTTAATTATAATAAAAATTATTAATATGTAGTTATTATATTGTAAAGATAAAAGTATGAATTAAAATGATGAGATGCGGTAGGATGTTGAATTTTGGAAAATAAATGACTGTAGAAATTAAAAATGAAGTAAATATAAAATAAATGAGAAGGAAGAGAGAGGAAATGATGTGTAGTGTTAAAAAAAGAGGATACTGGAAATAAAATGAGTGATAAAACCAAATCAGTCGAGTGGTGCTTCGTGGATCCTCCGTGATGAGAAAGGGCGAACAATCATGCATAGTCGCCGTGCTTATTCTTTCATGCGCTCAAAGACCGAGGCTGACTTGTGGGCTCTTTTCTGGGCAGTCGAATGCTTGCACAACTTACGTTTCTCGAATATTATTCTGGAGACCTCCTCGGAGTGCTTACATGATGCCTTATTGAAGCCTAATGAACACTGCAGCCTCAGCCACATTCGTCATAGCATACTTTGGCTTCTCACTAAAATTGAATCATGGAGTTTGGATCATGTTCTTCCGGATCGAAATGAAGCTGCAGCGGCCATTGCTCTTAGTGTCACTCGGGATCGGCGCCACCATTCGTATATTGCTCGGAATGCTCCATCGTGGCTCCACCATCTACTCGTTTTGGAGGCCCAATAATAGAGAGATTTGGTAAGCTAATTTTTTTCCTTCCCATTATGGTGTCTACTGACATCTCATCTTGTTATTAGCTTATCATCTTTATTTTGCTCTATCGAACTATGTAACTTTGTCAGTGTTAAAAAAAAAAAAAACTATTGTACATGATTTCATCACTTGATTTGACCATTTAGTAACTAATAATTCTACATTTTCGACCTATACATTTGTAAAACAACCTAAAATCTACTTTCAAAACTACAACATCAAAAGAAACTGAAAAGATTTCATTGATGAATTTCAACAGAATGTCTTTATTAAGGAATGATAAAAATTTCATTTTATGACTTCCTCTGAATGATGATCTTCAAATGACATAGTTTGCCATGAATATTTGAAAAAATTATATTCCATTTTTCTGGAAGATTTGATATTTAGAATCATAATCCTCCACTGCTTTCGTCTTGGTTCCCTTCATCATCATCACTAATCTCAGTAACAAATATACATAGATTTAAACCAAGAAACATGTTTTACCAACCCAAAACTAAACACACTATAGTGAGGAACATCAAAACACACCATTTCAATCCTCTCCAAGTGTTGCAGTCCCTGAATCAGAAGACTTCTTCTCCGAACTCTCAACATCTTCCTTAACCACCAATGTCTCTCTCAACTTCTTCTCGAGAAGCTCGATTGTTAAGATTGAGGTTTCATCCTCTTGCAACAAAGTCTCATATGCTTTTCTTCCAGAGTCTCGTGTTCAGCAAACGAGACACTTTCACCAACTACTAATTCTCCAGACATTGATGTCTTAAAACTGGAATACCACAAAATCACAAATTCTAAAACTAGAAACCCTAAACCTCCAAAATTTTAGCTCTGTTTCACACAGAAAACAACTCGTGACCGAATAAAACTGAATAATTAACAAAATAAATTCTTTCTCAACCGAATTTTTCAACTAGTTTACTGGGAAACTAAAGAAACAAAGAATAAAGACTTTCTATTATCGAGAAAATGTTTCTCAGAAAGAAACATTGTTCATTTCTGATCTTGAAACTCGGCTAAGAACAAAGGAAAAATATCGGGTTTAATTGTGATTACGCAGCGGAGATGGGAATTGTATTCGTAGAAATGAAATCTCTAGAGAGAGAAAGTGCCCTAAAAAAGAGAGCTGGAAATGCAAAACGAGTATTGTGGAAGATGCAACTTTTTGTTTAATTTTAATCAAATCAGAAGATATATCTCTTAGCCTTATCCCATTTTGTTTTTGTTTATTGTTCAAATTAACGCCCAAGCCAACTTAAACTACATAATTACAACTCAATTATGTTGTTTTATAGTTATAAGTAAATTGGCATTTCTCTATTGGTGAAATAGATTTTTTTTTCACTACAAATATAGATTTTTTTCACTACAAATGATTTAAATAGTAATTCTTAAACAAATCGAAAAAATTCTGATTCTGTTATAAGTTCAGCAGTACTGTAAATTGTGATCATAATCAGGTTATTATATTTTTATTTTGGTGCAACTATCAGGATATTATAGATTAATAATGCCTCTTTATTGATTCTTTATTGTATGTTCCTTTTTAGTAATAGTCGAATGATTTATAATAAAAGAATTAAGTGTTTTTCTACACCATGTTCAGCAATATAAATTTTAAAACTTAAATTCTATTTAAAGTTTTAAAAATATTTTAGATATTATGATTTTATATTAATATTTATCATAAATTGTGATTTAACTAAACATAAAATTAAGATATAATAATTTATTTAATTTATTTTCAATTATATTTAAAATAGATATGTATATATTTAAAATTATAACATGAAATAGATGTTCATTTATTTTTTTGTTAAGATATATTAACTCGACTTGTATAAAATTAAAAAAAAATTGATATAAAATTCTATAATTATAAAAAAAAATCTAAATGTGAAGATATGAAAAGATAACAAATGGTATTACAATTTAGACTTTATATTTATAAAAGATTGTATACAATTTTTGAAAATCTTGTTTAATAATAAAAAATACTTAAATAATATTTTGAAAATTTTCAAATATTTTTATTTTTATTATTATATTAATAAAGGTCATATTTGAATAGATTTATTTTGATGATGATATATGAGTTATTACTATATTCTAAGTAGTTTACAAAAAATAGAAATTAACACTAAATGTAATTGTCTTTATCACATTTAGCCTAAGCTATGTTATCAGTTCTATTATGTCATGTCAACTTTTTTAGTGAAAATGATTATGATGTTGAATATGACAAATCACTTATCAAATAATGTATAGAAGAGCCTAAGCTATGTCATTGTTCTATTATGTCATGTCAACTTTTTTAGTGAAAATGATTATGATGTTGAATGTGACAAATCACTTATCTAATAATGTATAGAAGAGAAATAAAAGTCCAGATCAATACACGGCCATGATTCTTAGAGCATCCTCAACGCTGGTATTTGAGGGATGCTTAGCGTCAGAACCGAAGCAAAACCGAATATTATACTATTAATTGGTTCGGTTATGCTAAGGAAGACTGCTTACGGAAGCAATTTACGGAATTGTTCCTTAAGTGTGTGGCCCTTCCTCATTGGCGAGAGGGGAAGATGTCTATCGCTTTGGGTAAAAAAATTTCATTTTCTCTGTCGATAATAAAAAAGAAAAGATCTCTCCCGAGAGAAGAGGCGACTCGGCGATTCCGGAAAGTTGAAGGTAAATCGTCGATCGCCTTTCATTTTTTTGTGATTTGGAGTAGTTGCATGTCCATTTCATCCATTTCTAGGGTTCTATCGAGAGTTTTTAGTGGATCTAGGGTTTCAAATCGATTTGGGTTTTTTTCGAATTAGGGTTTTCGGTTGGGTTAGCTATTATCTTCATCTCGAAACTGTTCTTTGTTCTTTTCGTGGCGATCTAGGTATGGCATTGAGTTGTATCTCGATTTAGGGTTCGGGTCCGAGTTCAAAATCGATTTAGGGTTTGGGTCTAGGGTTATAAATGGATTAATGATTCGGGATTGAGTTATTAATCGTTATTGGGTTCGGGTCTAGGGTTATAACTTTGATTACGTGTGTGTGTTTCTCATTCCTGAAGTTTGCTTTGAATGGTTACTGCTTTGAATGGTTATGTGTGTGTGTGTTTCTCATTAATTAATGGTTTCTGGAATCTGATGTTTCTTATTGTTGCAGGTTTCGAAATGGAGGAAGAGTTAAGAGAGATGAAAGCACACAAGGATTACTACAACATGCTGGACTTCGCTGCCAATGCCCAACAGGGTATTCCTAAACTATGCCCCTGTGGGTCTATCACCAAGCTAGTAGTAGATGAAGAAGACACGTATGATTATCTCCCTGGGAAGAGGTACTTCTTCTGCAGACTTCGAGGTGTGTACTCTTTTCTGTTAATTACATTCTTCTTCACGCACTTGTTTTCCAGTTTTGACAATGTTTGTAATGGTTTTGGCAGAACGACGGGCTGCATTTCAGGCAACCTTGGGTTACTGGAATGCAAGAAGAGGTTGAGCGTCTCAAAGAAAAGGTTTACGAGCTAGAGAAGATGGTGAGAGAGTTCTAGGGACTTAAGGTTCGTCTTAATTTTATTATTTCATAAATTTTTGTTACAAAATTATTACATAATTTTTTGTTTCTGGTACAACTCCACAAGAACAGGTGAGGTGGCTCCATAGGCGTCTGACAGAACACGAGAGAAGCGTTCAGAGGTTAGTCTCTTCCCTTCTTGGCTAACTTATTGAGAGTGTTGTTTGTTGTTTTGATTGGCTTAGTTTGAACATAAGAGTGTGGTGGTTGAATTGAAATGACTTAGTTTGAACATAACTATCTATCTAACAGTTACTTTAAACAGATTGAACATAACTATCTATCTATTCTAAAACTTGTAGTTGAATTGAAACGACTTAGTGGTTGGCGAGCAATGAGCAATAACTATCTATCTAACAGTTACTTTAAACTTCAATGTAAAGCTAAGAACATTTAAATTTTGTCTAACAACGCGAGTCCAACTTAAATGTAAAGTAAACAACAATTAAATAGAGTGAAATGACATATTCCTACTAGTAGTAAATAGCACTTCACAACCCTTTGCCAAACCCGCGAGTATAATATAACTTCACAACCCTTTCCTTTAGCTAAATTATAGAAACCTTGAACCTTCTCCCTAAATGGCAAACTCCACAAGTTTTGTTGACCTTTTAAGTAGCCAAGGGGTAGTGGACCTTGACTCTCCGGAACCTCATTGCTTTAGCGGCCAATGTTCCGATAAGTCAAGTGTCAAAGAGAGGAGAAAATGGTCAGTGAGAGAAGATAAAATCTTAATAGGTGCTTGGCTCAATACGAGCAAGGACCCAATAGTTAGCAACGACCAAAAAGCAGTTGCTTTTTTGGAAGAGGATCGTGGAGTACTACAACAACATTGGACATCTTTTTTGGACAAGAGTGCTTAAGTATTCTACCAAACAAAAAAAAATTTATTTGTTTAATGCCTAAGCACTCCAATGGGGGTGCACCATTGGAGGTGCTCTTAGGAATGTGTTTCTCAATGTCTCTCATCACTTTCCAGCTATACAATTGGTAGTCCCTTACATTTCTTTGTCAAGAAACATTTGCCTTTTGAACAAGGGATCAAACTAGCTAGGGTTTAAGAACGCACAACTTTTAGAAAATTCACCACCAAACCGTTGGCACACTTGATAACACTTGAAAAAAAAAGATAAGGGAACAACATACATTATCCGATACATATGTGTGTGTGTGTATATATATATATATATCAAACCTGGTGGCGATGATGACCATCAGAACATATCGAAGCATGATCTTACAAAGAAATGAAACTCCACAAGACCACATTTATTGTATTGAAATGAATCTTACAGTATATATTGAAATGGAGATGATGTAGTGATCATGGTGACGGTCATTGTGATGATGATTAAGCTTTGAGGACGTGGTCCTCCATGTCAGAAACCATGCTCGTGAAGAGTTTCATGTAGCTGCCTGGTTCGGGGAAATCATCATTACGTTTCTCCCATATCATAGTGCTTTTGCAGACGCAGCTATCCTCCGATTTAGGAATAAATTCAGCAATGATGTCAAACACTTTGAACTGTTCCATCACGTGACCTTCAAGTCCTCTAAACGTTACTGTTTTCTTCTCGTCGTCTAACTCTCTCCTTTCCTTGTATACCTCCTGCCTCCCATCTTTATTACATTTTAATCGGTCAAATTTATTACATATGTTAATACCGGTGTAATGATGCAATATATTAGTAATATTCCGACTAATCATGCATGATGCACTCATACTAAATTACTAATTACTAATCTTAAATATGGGGTCGTCACGCATATCAAATCTCAGAGAGATCAAAATTCACATTGATACGTTACTAGTTAGATGCACCAGCAAATCCTCATTCATTCAGCTGATGTCATGAGTCGTGTCTGTGGTACATATAGACTGTTTGCTTACATTTGGTTTTGTCTTAATCTGTGATTTTTCCCCAGAATAAATTCCATTACATCTACCATCTTACGGAATTGTTTTTGTTGCTCATAGTAAATACAACCACTAGACGCAAAAGCATGTTAGCATTTAAAAATGTGTTATGTTCTTCTTGTAAAGAGTTTTTAAGTTTCTTTATATATAAAAATGAAAACGCTACAAGTATAGTTTGAAAAATCAAGATGACCTATATGTTACTCGTATGTATTCTGGAGCTACTTGTGACATATCGGAAACAACTGCATATATCAGTCCTTTTTTTACTTGTCTTATATATCATAGACGATAATCATAATCCATAACTTAGTATATAGTAAAGTCAAACCATTAGTTTCACACATGGATATACTTTAACTCAACAATATGTATAAAGTGTTGGAATATATACAGACAGAATTAGAATAAGTAATACCGCATGTGTAGTTCCAAGTCTTGATGGCCCCATGAGAGTCCCATTCGCCTTCGTGAATGGTGATACCTTGGACGTGGTGGCCAATGCTGTCAGGGAAGGTATGGTTCTCGTTCCTCCACTTCTTGTAGTGTTTCTCTGCTGACCCTTTCAACGTAACTTCCCTCACGTATGTTCCCGACGTTGCCATTTCTCTCTCGTTTTAAAGCTTCGACTCTTTTTTATTTGTTGTTGATGAAATAACATAAGTCTTTGCTTTGGTTTATATAGTAAACGTGACGGTGAAATAATGGTTTCTCACGTTTCTTTGATCAACTATCTGATAGTCCATCGTAGATCTTCTGTCCCTTTTTTCATCCGACACTGCGTAATGAGCATTAACGAGCTACATAAATGTTACTTTTCAAGGGCAACCAATTTTTTCGATAGCATTATTGCTTGGTTAAGGTAGTCGGCACAGCATCAGATAACCATGCCCACAAACACTTTATCGTGTATTTCTTCTCTTTTTTCAACCTACTATTTAATGAGCATTATTGCCATTGGGTCACAAGAAGATATTATGAATTACTACATTGATGTAAATTAGTTCTACGCTTCCTAGAAATATCTATTTCAAATTATACCTATATCACCTGTTTGCTGACTAGTGAAACTCCACTTCCAAGCGATCTTGTACAGCAAAATTTTAGGCTTCACCGAGCCGGTTATAAACCCTTTATTGCAACTTTTTGAGATCGAACCGTGATAGCCTGATACTAAGTTTGCTGGCATATGATACAGAATCTCAAACTAATCTTTCATTTTCTTACTAGAAAAAAGAAATATTAAAAATCAAAAGAAAGAAATTCTTTATAAATTGGCAATTCAAAACACAAAACTTGGTGTTGGGCTTAGGAAGACCAATTCTATTTTATATGTAAGGCCCTCAACATTTCTAAAAAGACACTATATTTTAGAGTTTGTAAAATTCTATATATGAAATTCATAGGTGTTATACAATGAAACCTCTATAAATTAATAATGTTGGGACTACACCAAAATTTTGTTATTAGTTTAGAGAGATATTAATTTATAGATATACTAATTGAAACAAAAACTCAATTTGGAACTATAAAGTAATATTAATTTATAGAGATATTTAGTGTATATTAATTTATCGAGTATTAATTTATAGAGGTTCTACTGTATTTCAAAAGTAAAACTTCAAACTAAACTTTCAAAGTATTTGTATTTTATACTATAATCCTTATATTTATCATAACTAGTTCAAATTCATAGAACTTTTATAAATAATTAGCACATATATAAAAAGATTATAGAAAAATTAAATGATAAAATATTACACTATAATATGAAATTATTAATATAAATATATCACCAAATATTAAACTATAAATAAAATATCACTTAAGTCTTGTAAGAATATTGTTGCCTAGTTCTAATTTAAACTATTTTAAATATTATCTTGTTGTTTTACAAAAAAAATATGTTTAAAATTTAAGTTTATAATAAAAATTTAAAATATTTATGAGATATGAAATTTCAAGGGTTAAAATGATAAACCATAAAATACATAAGAATTATAAATATAATGTATAATTGTAAGGACTCAAATGCAAATAAAAATATGAAACTTCAAATTTGAAATTTTGAGTAGTGACACTCTATATTTGAAATTTCGCTATTCAAAATTGCAAATTTCAAATTTTAAATTCCTTTTTGAAGAACCAAAGACTTCATAGTTGAAATTATAGAGTGTTTTTAGGAGATGCTCTAAGATAACAGGAAAATGTTACATTTGTTTGCACACAAAAAGGGAGTGTTACATTTGTTTTTGTTAATAGAGGTATATGACTGTGTTCAAAAAAAAAAAAAAATAATAGAGGTATATGACAATTTCTTATTGTTTAGAAATTAGGCCTAAGAGCAATCTTAAGATGAATATATATATATATATATATATATATATATATATATATATATTAAGATCATAGATAATGAATTATTGATATTGTTTGAGCAAAAAAATTTTTTTGGCTGATGTATAACCGACTATTTCCACGTCAGTTACTTCTCTTTTGTTATTTTAAAAGCGTATAAAGTTTTAAATTAGAGTTGCAAGCTTGTGGCCGACTTGGCCCCTTGAAGAAAGATATAGGAACTAACGACAGGCCCCGTGACACGGCCACGTAGTTGTTGTCCTTATGCAGTTTCCAGGAAGTCTCTTCCAGAGTTGATGCGATCCAATATTTATGTAACGCGTAGTGCTTAGTAAAAGGATCATTTGATAAGATCGCTTAGTAATAAGTTATAACATTTAGTCTACAAGCACAATAGTATTTCTATAAATATGCCGAACTATTTCGTGTTCATATGTACGTCATTAGTATATGCAGATTAGATGCCAAAAGTTATGGTTATCCCATCACAATCGTACTTATTCATACGATATAGCTATAAAACAACGGTTAATAACAACTGTATTTGCCCACCGTATATTTTACGAGAGTGTTTGAAATTCGTCAAATGGCTATATAGTTTAGTGATTGTGATTGAGTTCTGAAATCGACGTTTGTTAGTTATATATTGATTGAATCGATAATTTTATTTTCTGGCCCCTAAAGTCCGGAGAGAATAGTTTGAAAGAATAGGTTTGACATTGTTTGAAACAGATCATACAATGCATTATTGGATTCTATTGATGATTGAGCGTTGAGGGAAACGAAGATGAATGTACCTACAAGCTATCATCATGTAACATTTATTTAATGACTAATGCGAGAAGTTGGATTCTACATTCAAAATTCAGTATAATATTAGTGGTTATTGAATTTAACGACGATTATTAAAAGAATAATCAAAACAGGTTACGGTTGAGGTTAGTGGTTGGTATAAACGTGCGTTGCCAGGTTTTAACACGGTTTTAATTTGGTTCAAAGTCACCAATTAACCGGAGAGAATGTTAACTTGCGTTCTGTGATTTTGGTTGGTTGAATAAATAAATAATCAATAAAACTAACGGTAGTGTACATTTAAAATTGTTATATCCAACAGATCAGCAGATACATCCACCTATCGTTAAGCGTACCACATTCAACATTATATAAACTGCATATAACACACTGATCCATGCAATCTCGAGCTTGACCACAGAGAGAGAAAAAAACAGAGAAGTAGAAAGATATTTTTGGGGCATTTCCCAAGTTTTTTTTTTCTTCTACAAACCCTTTTTGTGTGCATTTCTTAAAAGTATTTTTTTTTTTTGCGATTAACTTTAAATTTATAAAAAATGGGAAACTGTTTGAATGGAGGAAACAACATTAAAAGAATTGTTCAAGAAGATCAAAAAGTGAAGAAAGATTACAACAGAAAGAACCGTAAAGTGAAGATTGTCTTGAGAAAAGATGAGTTAGAGAAACTCATTCTCTTTCAGTTAAACGTAGACGGCAAAGGAGAGACAACTTTGGCTTCTTTCAACGATTTTCTCAGGGAGTTAGAGGCGGAGAGATCTGCCGGTGAAGCTGAAGCAAAGGCGGCGGAACAAGAGGAAGAGTCTAGCCGGAGAAGTAGAAAATGGAGACCGTCGTTGGACAGTATCATGGAATGGCCTGAAGTAACACTTGCGTAATCACTTCCTTAATCCTATTTAGATCATTAAAGTTTTAAAAATTATTTCCATGTTTATTTTAATTATGGAATTTTTATGTGGGAAGTTTGCTTTTACCTGTTTTTTTTTTCTCTTTTTCCCGATGGATTTTTTTCATCTGAGAAATGTTTTGTCCTCAGACTGAGATATCTTCGGTGTTTAAAACCGGCAAAGGCTTATTTACCCCACATAAAGTTCAAAAGGAAGCACGAAATTATGTATTTATTTTTCCGTCTCTCATGTATAAGGTTCAATTTGTCAACTATCAAATTTAGTAATATGAATTGTGTTGCTTTAGGGCATGCCCATTGAGGGCTTTTGAGGGGTTCACAGGCCCAATATCCAAGAAAAAACAAATAAAATACAATAAACTCTATGAACCCACCCCGTGAGAGTTCACTGCAGAACCGGGTTCATGTCAGTTTCGCGGGCCCCACGACATGTGGCGGCCCGCGATTGGTTGGATTGTTATTATTTATTTTTTAAAAAATAAAAATAAAACGAAAAAAGAAAAAAACAATTAAAAAAATAGCTATGAACCCCCCTCCCCCTTACCTAGTTCACTAATGTGGATGGCCTTAGAACATTGTCGTTATGTAAGAAATCAATATTTTTATTAAACTAGCCTTGACCAAATGTAGTTGACTTTTTTCCCAATTTGATAAGGAAGTACATAGATGGACTGATAACCTAATTTGATGTGGTTTTGTGCATCAAATAAGTTTATCAACCACATAATTAGGTATGACTGAACATCAACACTAAATGGTGTTAGTTGATTATTGTCTTGATTATTTAATTCTAGTATACGTTCAAAAATTATTTGAGACATACCCCACAACAAACAATGCATAACTGTGCTAAAAGTGATGATACATACGTCTTAATTATAAAAACTTGGATTATCAAAATATATACACATGATGACTTGATGATAGATAGATAGATATTTACCCTAAAACTACGAAATTTTGATAAATTAACCAGAATAAATTCCCAAAATCTATTCCATCTGGGATAACCAGCAGCTATTTCCTCATCGCCCGTTGTTACAAGCAACCATAACCACATCGACTTGAAGTTGATGAACCGAAACGTGTGCGATCTGGTCCACCACATGATTGAGATCCCAAACTCTGTCGTTTTTCCAGTTCGCTAATAGCTTTTGAGCTTCCTTCTTCGTCACCTTTATCTTAACCCTCACAACTTCCTCCTTCCCTTCAGTCTTATTTGAACTCTCTTTCTCTTCCAAAGACTTCTCTGTTGCTTCGAGTTCATGATCATCAAGATCGAACCTCACCGGCTTCTTTGGTTCGAATATCTTATTATTCTCTAACTGAAACCTCACCACCTTACGTGGCTTTTGACCTTCTTCCTTAGCAAGAGGCTTTGCCATGTCTTCATTTTCCTCTTCGAACCTTAGGGATTTGTCAATCCTCTTGGCTCTCTGCAAGCAACGGGACTTTTTGGCGGGCTCTACTGAAACCACTGAGCCATTCAGAGGACACGTTATGTTTAGGTCGTCTCTGTAAATGGGTTTTGCTTCTAGTTCTTGAACTCCGTTGAAGCATTTAGCTAAATAATCCATCATATTTTTTTTTCCTTCTTTGGTGACAAAGGGAAAGAAAGTTTTGTGTTATATTCTTGTTTTTGTAGATTGCAAGTTTGTTTTTCTGTATGTTCAATTTAATGAGAGACAAGAGTGTATATATATAGGCGACCAAGAGTATGAGACGGTTAGTAAGACACGTACTGGAATGTGCTTCGGGGTAAAAGGATGACATCGCTTTACCCTGGGGACTGGGGTAGTAAAACTTATTCAAATTTGTTTTGTTTTACAATGGAAAGAGTGTAGGATTTACTTAGCAATACAAAACACATTTGACAAGTTCATTAGTTCTTAGTCTATGTTGAGTAACGAAAGCATAAGTTTAACTGGAGATAACCTGGTTTTCAGGAAATAATATATCATCAGAATATGTGAAGATATTTGTTTCTGCTCATAAACTTTTGGGTGCAGTTAAAAGAGTCACGGTCCAATTGAATTAAGGTAAACGTAGGAAACATAACATCATTCTTACCATGACTTAATATCTCTTATACGCGTCTGAAAATGAATATTTGTCCCATTTATCCTGTTTTTGATCATTATTATCTCTATATGAAAAATCATCAGCTACCAGTCCTTGAAATACATTTTAAAAAGTTCCACAAGAAAAACGATGGCGTGCCACTAGGGACATTCTATATTAAATGGTCAATTACTCTATTTTTAATTAGCGTAACTACTATAAGAAAAATACTCGTTCATACTACTCTGATATTTCAATAGCATCCACACACACAGGTAGCAAAACCAAAACATATAATGGCACATGTGTTCCACAGGTTCTTTATATAATTTATCATACATTGATTTAATAGCTGATTAGGATGCCCTGACAAATATCAGCATATGAGATTGTGGTTTAATTAATAGACCGTTGACTAAAAACATAACTAGAAAACCTTACTGGGAAACTAGTACATTTAATAAAATTAATTACAATTTGGAGTTGTACACATAGATGTGAACAGTATATACTAGAGCAGAAGAAAAAAAAGTGGTGCTTGAAGAACAACAACCACTTAAATCTTAAAATCTCATGGGTGATGCTACTCCTAGGAAATTAACTTATATTACCTGATCACTTCAGTGTTCCCAAACTCGGAAGCTGCTCTAAACAACGATTCTCCATCATCTTCTCAGCCAAGAGATGATCCTTCTTTGAGGTAACATGAATATTGCTAGACAAAAGGTGGAGACTTTGAACTGATATTTGTTCTCATAGTCAAAGCCAGTCCATGAGGCTCAAACTAGCGTGTGTTCTTATTTACAATCTTGCCCCTTAACTTCAGCTCTTCCTGGGGAGCCACCTCCGCTTGACGATGCAGAAGGAGATGACTAGCTTCCTCGGTTTGTTGTCCTTCAAGGACCTTGTCTTTTCTTCTATTTACTATCAACCGGTAAGTTCATTTTTTACGATCTTGATTCAAAATGTTTATATTCCTCTCATTGTGTTGACACTCTCTCTCGCAGACTTGGAGCCCTCAAGATTCGACATTGGTAGCGGATATTGTTGAAGTTGGTTCGTTGCCAAGCTACACAAGAGAGTTCGATGAAACACATTATTGCTTTTATATTTTAACCCGTACGTCAAGGTCTAAAGTTTGAGTGCTCAAGCACTTCTAAAACAAAGGTGAACCATTCGTTCTTGAGAGATCTTGCAACATTGTAATTTTGATGATTTCTTGGTTAACTCCTGATTTCGGGTGGATTGGTCTGAACAAGAAGAAAGATTACCATATGGATCAAGTGAAAACGCCGTAGTAGGTTGAGGATGAAAGTTCAGAGACACGTAAATAAGAACCGTACACAAATTACTCAAGAACACTTCTTGTATATTAGAAACCTTTTAAACAATCTTCCTAGATCTGTTTAATCCGATTTAAGCTCAGTCACACACGACTAGCGACGGACCAGTTCCTAATCTCTAAGTTACAAAAACCCAAGCCAAACCCCTGTTTTCTCGATCCCTGTAGCCGACAAGAACAATCCTCTTGCTCTAGCTTTTTCCTCTCTTAACGTCTAACCTAAAATTCTCCTAGGTTGCCTCGTTAAGTAGGCATGAAAAAGGCAATATTCTACTTCCTACAATATCGCCAGACAGAAGATCTTCTTTGCTTCGCACCCAAGCAATATCTTCTATTTCCATAAGTTTGTGCCACGTCATTATACGTACCAAACTTATTGCACTGTGTTACACAATCATCGCACTGTGTAACACACTCTTATCTTAAACGGAACAAGCTCACAATCCTTGAGCTTACATTCTCCCCCTTTTTATCTGAATGTGACAACCTACTCAACCTGTTCCAACAAAGCTCAAAATGCAGAACACATTGCAGAACAAAACTCAATATCAATCATATTAGTTAAGATAAAAACCCTAAACACAACACATTGATAGATTTCCACAAGTATTCTCCCCCTGAGTAGATGCACATTAAGATAAAAACTCAAGGTTAGTTCAAGGAATTTCTACAAGGCTAGCTAATCCTCCAGCGAATTGTGAAAACAATGAGTGTAACGCACAAGGTCTGATGTGTTATGCACACATATAACCAGGAGCACAGACTTCACTTACATTCGTGTGGGAGCAGAGAGGTCATGTGAATTGTGATATGAGCCAGTCCAGGAGAGCAACCAGAATATGCACATGGGGCATCGATGGACATGATGCCTGCATCTCGGGGGTAAAGTCACTGAAGAACGATTTATCCACACATCTAGCTACCAAAACTTTTTAATGAAATCAATGAGTCAACCCAAGTCTGTAGCTATTTCTCAGCCGAGTAGCTGTCACAAACGAGATTCTGCAGCATTCAGTCCACAAACTCAGCTCTGTTCTCTCACTCATCTGTATGGTCTAGGAACACATGTTAGGCTTCTTGTGTGTCTGTCTCTCCAACTCACAGACTTCCAGTTGTTTATCACCAGGCAATTAATACACAACTCAAATTCTAGGAAAGTGATGAAATTCAGAGGCAAAGTGGGGTAACACCCAGCTCCAAAACATTTATCCCATGAGATTGGTAACACACCTGCCTAGTCAAGACAGTGATCGAAACAG